TTTAAGGGTGTTGGTGACCAGGAAGAAGGTGGCAAACAAGACTTGCATTTTATCGTTGAAGAGGTAAGCAAGCGTGAAGCGCAGATTCGCCCCCCCCGTCCCGAAAATCTCGCCTGAGCCCATCATGCTAAGACGCATCGCAGAAACCACACCCGCTTTTTACCCGCGACGGCGACGACATCATTCACACGATCGATTTAAATCTGAAGGAGGCCTTGACTGGCTGGAAACGGACGATAACGACCATTGAGGGAAAGCAACTCAACGTCGAAAAGGCGGGCCCGACGGGGCCTGGCACGTCAGACTCGTACCCGAATCTAGGAATGCCCATCTCGAAGAAGCCGGGCGAACGTGGAAACTTCATCGTTAGATACAATGTCAAGTTCCCCACGTATTTGACGCCTCAGCAAAAGCAGCAGCTCAACGAGATCCTATAAAGATGGCTGGGGCTTCCCAAAGCACCTAAGTAAAAACAGCTTGCATGCAGGCTGTTTTACGTAGCCGGCTAGCCAGGGACTATGACGATATACATGACGACGAATTGCACGATCTTCTTTTCCAGTAGCATTGTACGAGATAATTACTGCCCCAGGTTATGACACTTACCATACGCGGCTACGAATTTGGAGTCAGGATACGACCGGGTCTCTGGAGCCCAGGGCCGTCAGATCAACCAAGGTCTGATGGTCAGCTCCTTTTTGGCCTTCGGTACACATTCTGTTTGAACAATCCTTTATTGTTATCATCTTTTCTGCAGCTTTCTCATGGTTGGTTTATAGGCCCTAAAGGGAGCCTAGGAGGTAATGAATTGATTCTTGAACGCTCATGATATATGTTCTCTCTCATACTCTACCTCTCATGAACCAGGCCGATCATGGCGGCTAACAGGGCGACACAACTAACTGCGAATGTATATAGATTATTGTAATATTAGTTGCAGCAACAGAGACTTCTGTTCTCAGACCCCGTTCGTTTCGGTTTAACATTTAGGACGAGCTGATGCATGTCGAAATGGCGGTTTATGGGGACGAGGGCATTGCCTACGCCGCGCGAATCCATTACTGCTGTTGCCTCATGATTGCTTGCATATCTCTACGCGGCCACTTTTTCCAATTAGGACGTATCTTGAAGCATCATGATCTTCCTTTCCCATCGAGTAGATGGGCATAGCCTCTACCCACCAGTACCGACCGATGAGCGAGCCAATCAACTCTTCTCTCCTAAAGCTCGGTGTAGGAAAGACGTTGAAAACGTGTACATTAGTATAGGATGGAAGGAAGTCAGGAAATTGCTTGCTTGGTGTTAACTGGATGCGCGGGCAGGAGAAAGAAGAAGATGAGCGGGCTATGCATGCTATGGATCGGATCCAGATAGATGGATGCCTGGAAGATAAGGGGCCCGCGTGTCGAGAGAGGACGGAAAGACGGGGTTGGTCAGCGGAAATGCTGGTGACGCGACCTCGTATAAGTAGTCTATGCATTTGCAGCTGGTATGCTATAGCCTCCAATGTAGTTCAATCAGTCGTGTCGTTTCGTGTTTGGTCTTGGGCGGTTTGTGTAGGTGTAATAACTTGAAGCACGACGATCGCGGATTCGATTCGACTTGCTTGCGTGTGTGTCTACCAGCTAATTAGCATCTCAGCTGCCGGGCATGCGATGACGAGCGCTGCACGCCGCGGGGCGTTGATAGGACTACCTAGGTATACCCTCTCTTGGATCGGAGTAGGTGGGCGTCCATGTGCTGTCCCGTAGGTAGTAGGTATTGTGATGCGGTACCTAAGCGTGTCACCCTCTGCCCTGCTGTGTGTGCTTACGGCTTATATTTTGGCGATTACAGAGGTGGCCGGAAGTGAGTGGTCTTACGTGCTCAGTATTAGTTAGGCTTGGGCAGATAGCTACCTTAGATATTTTACCTACCTAATCTACCCACATGCCTATTCGCCCCGTGACTCGACTTGCTGCCCCGGGCGTGTGTCGTGTCGTGTACTTGGATGCTCGGTTTCGTTTACATGTTGCATACTTCTGTATGGACGGTTTTAGAGGGCGACACAACAGCCGGACGGACGGACGAACGGACGAACGGACGGCATTTGGGGGTATACAGAACTCTGACCTGCCTGCTTACTTACCCCCCAAGTCGTTATTGCTACCCTCTTATTCGACCGGCTGCACCCTGTCTCGTGCTCTAATTGCAACTGCTACTAAGTACGTAGGTATGCTCGTGGTCAGTGGCTATAGCCTAAATTCCTAACTATTGCTCGAAAATGGACGGGCTGTAGGCTTTTGCTGCATCCTACATACGGAGCTCATGGGGAATGATAATAGGCCATGCTGATGACTTGGTTATTTTATAAACGCTGGAAAGCTTTCATATTAGCGAGTGAGAGTCGGCAGAGAGCTTGAATTAATTTCTGGAGGGTAGGTTACTTCAAGTAGTATACGTCTCACGAAATGCTTGGTATGTTCAATGTGGTTGAGCGACTGTTGCCAACTTATTGGTCAATGTTTGAACTTAATAGTACTCAGAAACAGAACAGAGTTATGATCGAAGGGGTGGCAATGTGAATCCCAAGTACTTAAATGAGTGGTGCTGTGGATGAGCTCTAAGATATATAATATATGTTTATATGGTGAAGACAATTTGATCTGTGCATATTCGTAGAAGTACGGAGAGACAGTTTGAAACTTCCTGCGCGGTAAGGATACTCACTCGTCGCCCACATGTCATGCGCATTGAATGAAGGCTACCTAGACAACGACCAACCCAAATTGAACTTCATTTCAGGGTATACATATTAAGCATTACAAGCAATTGCCTGGGTATTGGGGTAGTTTAGCTAAACGATTTCCGATTTGTTGCGGTCCATCTCGACCACATGGCGCCCTAGAACTCCAACGTGAAATAGGGGTATGTATGACGACGTATGGGTCGATGAGTACAGCTTGCAATAGGTTCCTCCCCAGCAGCCTCCGAACACAATTTCTGTTCTACGCCGAATGAGACAGTAGATGGCGAGGGAGTCGGGTTTGGTGTATGACTCTGCTGGAATCGTCTGGCCCGATAGCCCGCGTCGAGCGCTTTGAAGGTTGACTGGTTGCATTGAAGATTACGCCTCGTCATGCGGCGATATTAAACAACGTTATCGATTTGATCTACACCTGCTCCTGGTGTCGAGTGGCAGCGAATCCCGACTCGCTGGAACGTCCCCCGTCATCAACACGGATCCCATTAGCCGGCTCCTCAAGCGTGTGTGAGATGATAATTCCCAGCCAGCACCTCGCCAAGCCCCAACTTCTTCTCAAAACCCAGCTCGTCCCACCACATCCTACTGGTCAGCTTGACCTGGGGGCCAAGTCCGAGAAGCTCTTTCGTCTTGGCGGCGTCGAGCGACGGCGGCTGCTCAAACACCATGAAGACATAGCGATGCGGCGCGCTGGGCCTGGGCGGGCCCGGGCCTATGTACGGCACGAGCCACTCCGGGGCGCCCTCGAGCGGGGCGAAGCCGTCGCCGTCAGGAGCGCCGGCCACGAGATCGATGTGCAAACCGTGCAGGATGGGGCCGAGGAAGGGAAACGAAGGGAACGGGGCGTCTAGGTCGATGGCGACGGCGACGTATTTGGTGCTAGGGCCTGACTTGAGGGCTTCGGCGGAGATGTAGAGCGTCGGCGTCGGCGCCGACGCTGCGATGGTCACGTCGGCCCCCGCCTCTGAGACGGTGACTTCTGGGAAGTGTATGCGCAGTGTCGTCGCGCTTTTGGCGGCCGAGATGGCCCTCTGTATGCTTGGCGACTCTTTGCCCATCGTGTAAATAGTTGTCTCCTTGGTATCGTCTGGTATCTACTCGATTATGGGTTTCCAGGCGAGGATAGTAGGGGGTTAAGAGGGTCGTATAGGTATTCTACCGCGTAACCGGCTGGTTGGCTGGTAGTCGAGCTTTTTAACTGACCAGGAGAACTGCCAAGGCTTATATCCGTCGTCGGCACTCTACCCGACGATACCTAGACTGGGCCGCAATCAGCGGTGTATAGGTTCCGTTTTATGAAATAAAAGCTTTATCTAGTGGAGTTGTTGGATTAGTGATGGTTGGGCGATTAGTCCTGGGATGATCTACGAAATCTTACGATATGCCCGTTGATCATAGATATGGTGTTCGTATCTGGCTTCGATACGACGTGACGATGTGACGACGATACGGTTAGAGGAGTACGTGTAGTACACTAGAAAGTGTCGAAGATCGAAAGGCTCTGATCATAAATTGGCACTCGCCTAGGCACCAACCGCATCAGTGTAATTTCTCTCGGCCTTCCATTTGATTTATTCTTCACGCGGCTTTATGTAAACGCCGCGTTCGGGTATCTATTCGAGGTGGATAGGGCCTCATGGGCTCGGAGCCGAGTCGGCCAAGATTATTCTGCCTTCAACAACTCGGCGACTGGGACTGTAACTTATGCAAGATGGCCGAAAAGGAGCCGATTACCTTACACAGGTCATTGACGCAATGCTGCTTTCTCTAGGGGACACTGACCCATAGAAACGCGATTCATGGTTCCTACCTGCCACTAGTAGGCAGCCTGTAGGTAGCATTCTGACCCGATCTATCCCGCGAGGCAACGTGCTGATCATGTTTGGCCAGGTCGCGATGTGCAATGCGCGTATGAAGCCGTCACCACCGATCTCCTCGCAAAAGACCTCTATCTCGTAATCTGCTAGCTATTCAGACATAGCTCGTCCCCGACTCCGAGATGTGGCCGTGTGGTCGTCTCGTACTCTCCTTCCCTCGCGATTCCCAAGACTGTCGTGAGTTTGGCCGGGAATTCAATAGCGGCGATGAGGCCAGTTGATTCCGTGGCAACATGGCACGTAACGAAGAAAAAATCTCTAGCCATCCCATCGTATATCGTAGTCGGCCTCTATCCACGAGACAAATGAAATGGCAGGATTTTCGATTTTCTGATTTCATGTATATATCCACTAGTACGGGGGCCTCTTTAATAGCATTAGCCCTGGTAGCTCAATTGGTTAGAGCGTCGGACTTTTATCGGCATTAAGCTTATATCGCGTTATCCGAAGGCTGCGGGTTCGACCCCCGCCTGGGGCGATCGTACTATTCCTCCCGTCTTCCGCTTGGGAATGGTTGCGCTTTTTTTTTACCAGGCATTTATTTACATTCTTTAGATAGAGAGAGTTATATATATATAAGCTGAGTTTTTTTTTTTTAACTTTCAATCCAGACTCTACTGTCGAAATACATAAACACTTCGTACAATAGCAAAAGTTTCTTTGAGTATTGAAATGTGCTATTTTGCTGTCATGAACAAATGAAGACATCATGTATCCAGTAGATTTGTGCCTCGACATGTTTATAAATAGCGGATCGTCAACATTAACGAAGATCCCAACGCAAAAAGCCCTAATCACAGCATTGGCCTCAAGAGAATATTCATTGCGAGTGCAGATGACTGGATTTTGACCCTGCCGACCTGAAATTGTCGATCTGGACCCCCTGGCCTCTACTCGATATCACCCCTATTTATTCCAGATCGATAGCTATTCGCTCAACAACTCTCATTTGAATCGTCCTAGATAACCGTAAATTGCTTCTTCTGTCCCCACTCCGAAAGTACTATATCATCATAGACATGACAGTTGCCAACTCCTATCCTTTCAAACACTAAAGGGTCCTCCTCAACTTGCTTCAAGAAGAGAAACATTCTACTCTCGTAAACGCTAACAGCCGTGACTGCCATTCCGGATTCTCGAGACGATTCCAGACTTGCCAGCAACTCGGTGGTGTCGGGATACAATAAGCCACGCGCACTGCTCATCGTGCCATCAGCCTTCGTCGCTTGCATTTTGAACGGAAAATGCCACTTGGACCCCCCAACCAGCTGGATGCGAACGTTGCATATGTATCCTTCTACCGTCAGTTTCGCGTCTCTCACCGCCCCGTACTTATTCTGACCTATAGGTACACAGTTAACGGCGATGACAGACATGTCGGGCGGGCTGTTAGCCCACTCCCCACGCCCGAAATTCCGTTTCCAAAATAGAAAATTGACATGACCAGTGATGCTGGCCCAGGACCATGTTGGGGCTATGCAGGGTTTGATTCTGCGGCTGTCGTAGTCCCAAAATTGCCCATACTCGACCCTCCGCTCCACAGTCCAGAGGAGTGTTGATGGGAGTGTATCTGACCACAGTCCGGCATAGTATTGAGCCTCGGGGCTGGCCAAGTGGGCGTGGCTGGCTATTCCGGCCAGTGCAGCAAGGCGATCTGAGGGGAAAGTCAGCTGACGCTCGGTGTATTGCTCGACAACCTCCTTCCAATACTCTTTTAGATCATCAGGGTCGATCTCCCGAGGCCGTTCGAGGTCCAGGGGCTCATGCACCACTTTGCCATGCGGCCTGGGTTGGCATTCACATCGCGAGGCCGTGGCGCATCTCCATGTGACCTCGTCAGGGAGGAAATGGATAACGCGATGGGGCAGGAGGGTTTCTTGCAAAACCCATCCGCGTCGTAACAGAAAGCTGCCTTGGTTTGTTAGCCTTTTCGAAGGCTCCACGCCCTCTTGTTCTCTCGCTGTGTAGTGCCGGCCAAATCCGCCTAGGGTACCAAACTCTCGCCAGGGCCTCACAAATACCTCACCACGCTTCCCCTTTGGACCAAGACAGGCGAGCTTTCGGCTCCTTGCTTGAAGATCCCCCCGCGCAGACGAATGTATAAATCCAGCTTCGCTGTTCTCAGCGGCATCCGCTGCTATTGTAAGCCAACTGTTGGCGTATATCTCGTGCATTTTAGAGCCCGCAATGTCCCAGTCCTCCTTAGAATCTTGTATGATGCAAAGAGAGTCTATCCAGATATAGTCGACAGCCAACGCGCGACATATTTCTATGGCATCCTGGAACGTTATTGGGATTCCCGAAAATGAGAGGCTCCGTTTAAATTCCTCCAAATTGTTGCCCTTCAATTGCAGGGATACCTGCCCACCCCAGCGATGGCTCAGAGCAATATACTTCCCCGACATCCCTCTAGATTCTACGAGATGCGGTTCAGCCCCGGCCCCAACAAAAACAACTCGATCAGGGAGTGGCGCAGTCGAAAGTTTCTTGCAACTGCGGTGTTTCATGGCGCATTCAGATATCCAGGTTCTTATCAGTTCAATGCAATCCGGAGAGTCTGCAGCAGCTGCTACGTGCCTTGCGATCTTGATTGTCGGCCATTGAGATGCACCCCCTGAATAATGTTAGGCAACTTAGTTCATCTCGTCCAGCAGCAGCAAGCCAACATTTTGTGATGGACTAACTTACGTCTGACGGCGAATAGTTCCACCGTACGCTCTACTGGCGGATACTTAGCCCCAAGGGGGTATAAAGGACCAGCGAACCAGCCTCCCTTACTGAAACCTAAGAACGCCATGGTAAGCTATGCTGACTTCCTCGCCCTCGAGTATTCACGATTGTTCAAATCACCTTCATCAGCGCATAGCTGGCGACACATGTCTTCGGACTTGGGGTCGAATATCTGAGACACTTGGGAGTCGGCACGCAAGGAGACATATGCTAATGCCAGTCTCGGATCCGCGAGATCAGAAGGGTCGATGGACTGGTAAAGCAACTGACAAGCCGGACAGCATAGCGCACCCAATAGGAGTTCGCTAGCGGGAAGTTGAAGATTCCATGCGTGTAGTGAGCGGCAGTACTGGCAGTCATCGTGTCCTATCTTCTGGAATATTGCCGACACCCACTTCATTGGGTTGGCGGGCGCACTCTGGGAAGTGCTTAGGCCGGATTTCAACAACGGACGAGATTAGAGACTTATAGAAGACTATACTATCACCAGGATATAAGGCATGCGGCAAGTGCTTTGTCTCTTCGTGTTGTCGCGAAATTCGGCGTGTGTGCTGCTTGAGGGATAGTGAGCAGCTCGAATGATTATATAATTTCTGCATCGCAGTGCTGGACCACCAGTATGTAGCGGCATAAATTACAGTGAAATAGGGGCCTTGGCCCTTGTACCGAGTGATCAGTGTTTCTACATGCCTGTTTTCATTGGCCACTAGCAAGGGTGCTGAAACAGGGAATACCATTGGCTGGGCTTCCTGGAGGTCCGTTATCAAGTTCGCCTTTAATATCCATCGTGAGTAGCCCTCTCTCCCTATGTGAACGATGTGGTACGTCGACTCCTAGGAATCTCCGTACGTCGCTGGCGTCATATTTATGAGACATCAATGCCCAGCTGAGGTCGGGTTCTATTAATGTGCTCTCGGCAGTACTCTTCACTAATTGTTGGTCCAAACTGAAGGCAGCAAAGCATACCGTTATGTTGAGTCGACGGCCGCTCACCGATTCAAAGCTTGGCCATTCGCCATAAGGCTCACCAGGCCATACTAGGCCAGTCTCTGGCAAGTTTTCCCAATCTGCTCTTCGCGAGTTCGTCAAGATGAAAATGGGAGTGGCGGAAGTGATCAAGTGCACTTGGCCTCTCTGGATCCTCGCTGATCTGGTACTTCTTCCACAGAGCCAAGATTATGGAAAGGATGAGCCTGCTACTTGCACACCATCTTCGTTACTCTAGATGTGATTACAATTATCATCGGCTTGTAAGTCTAAGTTTATATAAGTGCCACATATAGGTATCATTATCAACGATTAGTATTTATACGCGAAGCCGTCATCCGTGTTTCCCAGTATTGGCTGCAGTACCTTCTCCTCTTCTACCCGCCCTCTTCGCGGGCCGCGTTCACTTCGGCCTTGAGCAAACTCTGCACATTTAACTCTTCGAAACCCGTTGCTTGTCGGACGTAGCCAAATCCGCAGCGGTTCCAATCTGCCCTGTTTATCACGCACGCAAGCTTTGAGCGGATACTCAAAGTCTCTGGCCAGACGATTCGCGCGCATCTTGGGGTATATCAGAGGATAGTAGAGCCACATTGTGAAGGTGATGATCGAGAGCGCCGCGAGGGTGGCTTCGGTTTTCGTTCCGCCCGCCGTGGGAATCCATGCGACGACGCTTCCTTGAGTGAGATCGAAGCTTCGGGGCTGTCTCTCGATGGTCGGTGTCTGCTCCAGCGTCACGCCGCCAGAGTGCTTGAACCATTCAGGAGAAGGAGCCAGAAGTCCCCATTCGCCATGTCCCCAGTTAGTTTCTTGGTTGGGCCCGAGGAAATCGGCCCCGGAACTCGGCTTCGGCATCCTCCACGCGAATAGGGTCTCGTCCTGGAGCAAGTTTGGGGCTGTCAACAACTCTTTTTGCAGTCGCATGAAGGCCTCCGCACCCTCACCATATCTCGTGTTCATGTGGACGTCAAAGAGACCCAGCATGCTGTACGCGATATCTTCCGCTCTCGTGGTCGTTCGTCCGGCCATCCAGCTCATTTTAGTAGCGATGCAAGCTGCACGGAAGTTTTTCGCGCCCACTAAGTATTCGGCTTCTATACCTGTTATTTGGGCGAGGGCGTGCGCGTGCTCGTGCTTGGTGCCAATGTACTCCCAGTGCCTGTTATAGAATCTAAGCTCGCTCGGAGCCAGGAGCTCTTGTAGCGTCCATCCCCGGGAGAACCATAAGGACGGCCCTTCCCTATCGACGCTATCAAAGGCGCTGGGTCCCCGGTCGCCGCTGGAGTCCACGTCGTTCAAGTACGTGATGCATATTCTAGCATTGCCGTACCATCGGAACATAGATCTAATAGCTTCATCGAGTTCGACAGCATTGGACTTGTCGATGCAGCATGAGTCTATCCACAACCATTCGAAGCCTGATCCGCGAGCTATCTTGCACGCACCGCGAATCTTGTCGATTTGAGGGGTGCTGGCTGGAGTCCTGCCTGAACGAAGCTCGGTTGCTACGGTCTGCAGCTGCTTAAAGTCAATTTCGTCTCCGACCCAACGGTGGGAGAGGATAGCGTATCCTTGTTGTTTGAAGTATGCTTGATCACCGGTCCGCAGCTCGAAAGTCGTCGTACTAAGAAGGTGCATAGTGCCGAGCCGACGAGTGAGTAGCCGTGATGAAGAGTAATTTGATTGAGGAGAACCAGTAAGGAAGTTTTAGAGATCGAGTTCGCTGATGATGCTCTACAAATGGAGAGCAGAAGATAGAGG